CTTATTTCGTAATAAAGGCGTCTTTACTTATCCCATTTCTTCATGTATATGTTCACTTAAAAACTCAGAAAATTGTTATAACTTCTTTCTGAAAATTTTAAAATGCTAAAATATTGAAGCAACTGTAAAATTCCCTCAAAAATATCCAATTGCTTTAATTGGAGATCTGAACTAAGAACAAATCCATTGAAAGACCTCCTGATGTAACATCCATTATTTTAGAAGAATCCAATGAGGTCGGGAAAGATGATCTGCTATCAAATTCATAACCCCTGGCACATGACAAGACAAAAGATGGATGTTGTAGGAATGAGCCCAATAAAGAAGATCCAAAGCCCAAAAACAAAGATCTCGAGAATGAGTACTTCCCTGACAAGAAAGATATGATACCACTGTGGAGCTGTCCAAATGGATCAGGACAATTTTACCCTTGAATCATTGCTTGATGTACCACAAGAAGTTCGAGAATATTGATATGCAGGGTAGATTTGTAGTCTGTCCAAATACCCTGGAATTCCTGCCCCTGAAGAAAAGCACCCCATCCGTGAAGAGAAGGATTTCTGGATGAGGAGGTGATATTTAGACCCCGATAGTTGTGTTTTTCCAGTCTAGCCACCACTTGAGATCTGCAAAATTGTTCTCGAGCAAAGAGACTGTTTGATGTAAAGGATCAATATGCGTGAGCCACTAGTCACAAAGTGACCACTGAAGGGATCTCATATGGAACCAACCCAATGGCACAAGGGATTCTAGGGAAGCCCAAATCCCCAAAACAGACAGAACCATCCACGCAGTTGTAGAAGGTTATGTAAGCAAATGCCTGACAATCCCTTTCATATTGTGAAGTCTGAGGGGAGATGGTTGAGCCTGACTCAAATTGTGTTGATAAACACCCTTAGATGGACCAGATATTCAGTCGGTGAGAGAATGGATTTATCCAACCTGATAATGAAACCCACCCTTCTGGCTTCGGAAAGGAGAATCTGGGCATGTAGTTCAGCAACATGACGGGTTTGCCAATAGAAGCCAATTCTCAATATAGTGATGTGTGCAGAGACCCAGAAAATGGACATGCCACGCAAAAACCCATACTACTAGGCAGAAAACATATGGTGCTTAAGCAAGTCAAAACATCTGTAACATTGAACTTGGTCATTGAAAGACCTGGTGTGAAGTGCCATCGAAGTTGAAGAAAAGATTCCATGGTGAAACAAAGAGACTGTAGGAAGTGATTGAATCGAGACAGATCATTGATACAATGCCAATCTTCAGTTTTCTTGGGCACCAGAAATACATGAGAATAGAATCCTGGATGAATGGGATTGAACTTCTTGATGGCTTGTTTGTGGAACAACTCCTGAATGGCCTGGGAACGAAGGTCTGCATGTTTAAGGTCTAAAGGAGGAGAAAAGACAACCAGATGGGAGTACAATGGAGGGGGATAAGTAAACCCGAGGACTGATGATTAATGAATGCTAAATGTGGTAAAAGAGAAGTAACCATCCTCCCACAGGACCTGGTGAAGATGGGTAGTCACCGATGCTGATGGGGCGATCTCGACCTTTCCAAAGATCACTGAAAATACAAACAGAACTGATTCTGTGAACCAATACGATGAGGTATCGAAGGTGGGGGCCATGAGACGTGAATGGTCGATCCTCCAGAATTACTCATTGGAGTAGAAGAGAGGTGAGCAGCCAACAACAGTAAAGAAGACTACAAACGTGCCATATCAATTCAGGTTTCTAAAATTTCCGGCAAACAAGTAAGGCCAAAGAAAGGGCGCCTCCAGTAAATCACAAAGAGCAGTGGACAGCAAACAAAGCATCAGAACTCAATAAGTCCCAGCAACAGACCAACCATAATACCAATGCAAGGCAAACGAGCCACAATGGTAACCAGTAAGGGTCCCACTTTGTTGTCAAATTGATGAGGTGAGCATTGATATGCTCCAGACAAAAGGTGAAGGGAAGAGAAGTATCACAATACAGTAGTAAGAGTCAAACAAACTGTTAAGAGTGATAATAGGTTCTAACCTGGAACCCCATAGATCCAACCATTGAGTGTCCAAATATACTTCATCTTGACAATGATAAGCCAGGGCATGTTGTTCTGATAAATGAGGGGGGGGGGGAAGGCATAGTGATACCCTCTCATAATTGCTTTGCAAATCTCCCTGCAAGCATGGCAATATCAGGGAAGGAGGCAGAATTAAGTAATCCTCCCGAGATCTACCTGACAACAAGGCAGGAGTACACTCAAAAGCAACAGGGTTAATCCCCATATCTTCACAAACTCGCATAACTAACTGCAGAAAAGGGGCAGAAGGTGGCTGATCAAATGAGCCCTCAGTAGAGGCAGCCATAGTGAAAGAAGGAGCAGGAAACAAGAGTGTCTAATTTCTCCCCAGTATATTCAGGTTCATGATGAAAAGCCAACTCTGAACCACCCGGGGAGACACCCCCAGGCAAGAAGGACTCCATCTTGCCTCGATTCAGGTCACGGACAACCTCCACTGTTAATGTATTGTACATATACATCATGGTGACCAATATTACCTAGAACAACTCTTAACTAACACCGTTGACGTACTGTAGATGTAGATCATGGTGATCAATTACCTAGAACAGACATTAAAAACCCCAAACTTATGTTTCCAAGTCACTGACATTACTATGATCCATAACAAGTTTTAAACTGAAGTATTGCACACAACCTTGAATTTAGTACTGCAGTTAACAAAGCTTTAATAATTTGCCATTTTCAATCTGCAGTAAATGTTTGTCACTCTGCAAACAACAAACAATATTTCTTAGAAAGCATTGTTTGTTTACTAATTAATAACAGGTCTTGCAACAGAATGAGACTAATAACATTTTAATCACATTTCCCATTACTAGCACAATACAAATTTCCAGTAAGAAAAATTAACAAAAAATTACAGATGCTTTGATTAAAAATATTACCATCATTTTTGTACTGCAATCACACATATTACAAACCATGCCTAACTAGCTTATTTGACATCTTGAAAATTATTCTTTTGTTATTGCAAAACAGACTTTATCTAATAGAAAGTTTTTATGTGGAGAATGTACCAAACATTTACTCACTGTTGCATACAGGTGCTTCATTACTCCATTCTCCATTAGGCAAACAGTAGATTGTGGAAATTCCTTCAAGTTCATAACCCATATTACAGAAGTACGTTACATTTGCTGGAAACTCATACACTGAACCTTTTTTATAACCATTCTTGATATCAGTTGGTGCTCCACATTGATCTTAAAAAAAAGTAAGTTTAATATTTATAGGTGACATCCTGATGTTATTCCATAATAGACTTTTAAAGGAAAACTTTAAACTTAAAGGAAAGCATAAAAAGCTTTGTACATTTCTGTAAATATCTTCAACTTTACATCAGTGGTAAAAAGTACTGAAACTAACCAATTATAATTAAATAACCATGAATAGAAGAGTAAAAAAAATTACTTTAAAACAGTTTAATATATTAATGCAATGTTAGAATTAAGTAATATGGAATATGGAAACTTTCAGTATGGTGTATTTTGAAAGTCAGTAAAATTTTCATGTAAATAAAAGATATAAATTACAAACTTAAAATAAGAATCTACAAAACACACAACCAGCATTATCAGACATAATACCAAAACAAAAGAAAACCAGCATTATCAGACATAATAACAAAACAAAAGAAAACCAGCATTATCAGACATAATACCAAAACAAAAGAAAACTAGCATTATTAGACATAATAACAAAACACAAGAAAACCAGCATTATTAGACATAATAACAAAACACAAGAAAACCAGCATTATTAGACATAATAACAAAACACAAGAAAACCAGCATTATTAGACATAATACCAAAACACACAAGAAAACTAGCATTATTAGACATAATAACAAAACAAAAGAAAACCAGCATTATTAGACACAATAACAAAACACAAGAAAACCAGCATTATTAGACATAATACCAAAACACAAGAAAACCAGCATTTATTAGACATAATAACAAAACACAAGTAAATTAGCATTATCAGACATAATAGTTACTTGAGCTTTTCTTTGGTTATTGTTATCCCAATAAATGCTGAAAATGTCTGAGTCGTAATCTGATAAGTGAACAGAGCTTTTTCAGCACAAAAGTTGATAACTGTTAATACTGTTATTACAATCAGAACAGTAACTGTTACTACAAGCAGAACAGTGACAGTGTTTCTACAAGCAGAACAGTAACAGTGCTACTGCACAGGTATGTTGGCAAAAATTAATGTTGTATTGTGCATTCAACAAATTTCAAACTGAACATGCAACAATCTGAACTATTAGCCAATTGCAATAAGTTGTGACAAAATTTCAAAGATTAGTTACAACAAACACACAGTCATAAATCGAAAAGATAAAAATGTAAACTGTTTTGACATAAAACTTTTAAACTCACATGTTTTATAAGCCGTACTACCACTTAGCTAAGCTCAACATTTCTGAGGAAAGTGGACAAAGAAATGTACACATATTACATCATGTTGAGTAATTTCATGTATTTGTCTGTTATAATATTCAGTGTAAAGAACTGATCAAAATAACTGAATGAAACCAACTGCAAAACACGAACAGGATCCCCACAGTAATCAGTGGGATTGAACAGGACCCCCACAGGAATCAAGTGGAATTAATTGCAATATTAAAGATTTTTTTGTTTAAATTTTTTTTCATAACTCACTTGCTGTTAATGAATGAATTCATGGAGTTACAAACAATTTGGTGCATAAATTACAAAAATGGACTAGAGACCTCAATCTGTTTCATTTAAGTCAGCTTATAGTACAGAATAAAGATTAGTAAAGCTAAATGCGTAACATGCAGTTTCGTAAAGATTAATGTGTGGCATGCAGTTTAGTAAAGATTAATGTGTAACATGCTGATTAGTGAAGGTTAATGTGTAACATGCAGATTGGTGAAGATCAATGTGTAACATGCAGATTAATGAAGCTTAATGTGTAACATGTTGGTTAGTTAAGCTCAGTTTAGATTAATGAAGCTTATTGCACAGTAGATGAGTAAAATTTACACTGTAGCATGAAAAATTAGTGAAGTTCCCACTGTAGCAAATGTATAAATGCAGTTCACAACATACAAATTAAGTTTAATAGTGTAGCATGTAGCAACATATGTAGTTTATGGTCATTTGTCAAATATCAAATCCCTCCCATGCAAAGATGGCGCACAGGATTCAATAGTGAACTCTGGCTTAATTAACACAAGCAGATGAGAATGGTGACACACTCCCCTTGGACTGGTTGCTAGTCCATTGTACATTAACCCACTTATAAAAGCTGTTACCCATCATACAGTTGGGTAGAATGAAACAACAACATGATGTGAGCCAGCCACGAACTTACAACCAGCTAACTATAAGTTATTGGAAGAGCTCAGCCACAGTGAAAAAAGAAATTTTTAATTATTGATAAATGTAAGTTCCAATAAAACAAATGTATTTTCCTAAGATCCCATTGTCTTCACCTCAAGTTCAGTCAACCGGAAGGAGAATTCTCACCACCAATTAGTGAACAGGGCAGATGTGAGGAGAATGAAATACAGATACATCCCCCTCAAATCAAAAATACCAGAACCACCCCAAATGCAGTAATATCCTTGGCATAAAGACATTGAGGGGTAGCACAAGAGAAAAAAGAGGAGCAACGATCAAGTGCACCCACAGAATTGAGTGAAGGTGCAGAGATATGCTGAACATATGTGAGGGGTTATGTTGATTGGCTCAACTCTCAATGCAAAACTCAACCACTGGGATCCAACATCCATGTGGAGGTAGGATGAGGGATCCCAATCGAAGGGGTGAACTACATGTATGCTGGCATACTACATATGAGAGTACATCATGTCGATTGGTTCGGCTCTAAATCCAAAACTCAACAGCCAGGAACCAACATCTAGGTGTGGGTAGGATGAGGGATACCAATTACACTACATGTGTGAGAACATGATGTTGATGGGTTCAGCTCAAAATCCAAAACTCAACTGCCGGGAACTAACATTCATGCAAGGGTAGGATGAGGGATCCCAATCGTTTCTACATCAGCAGAACACCACTGCTCTAGTCTCAACTGAATAGAGGCATTATTGTTCGTATTGTATATCTCTTATTGAGGAGGATACCTACATGGTCCACTACCCCAGTGGCTGGGAACTGGAAAGTGGTAAGGATTCTCTTACTCTCCTGGAAGAAACAGGGGGAAAAATGTGGTGGAGTCTAGAGGAATGTTCACACCAGAGACAGGTGCAATGGGTGACCACAAAGCCCTATTTCGAAAAGCAGACCAAACCTGATTTATTCAATCTTAGGAATGGCAGGGATGGGCAACTACCTCCTTCTGCTTTACCCATGAAGTTCATGGGTGAGTACAGTCTGGAATGGGCATATTTATGAAGCAAATATACCTTGAGGAATAACCTAGAAGCAATCTTTCAGAACACCCCATCTCTAGTATACAGAAAAGTACAGAACAGTGTGTATTTAGTGGCAATGGAAATATGAAAATGAGATCAACATGGCCTTACAGTGCAGATTTGAGTACATATCTAACTGAATGAAGTATATCTGGCTAGGCACTAATCCCCATACAGCAGGATAAAGAACAAAACATGCCACAGGCCAATGAAAAAGATAAGGAATGAAAAACTAACCTAGTTTAGTTGCACCAAAGTCTGAAGAATGGCGACCGGTGGAAGATGATAACCTGATGAGGAAAAATCAGCAACATGATGCAGAAAGCGAGAGATGAAAATATGCAGAGTGGTCCACATGCCCGCTAGAAGAATTTCCTCCAATGGACAATGTAGATGAAACACCAGAGAAAAAGTGAGGTGCCTAATCTGATGGAAAGACACCTGAAATAATTGAGGGAAAAAATGAGACAAGGAAGAATAAGCCAATCAAAATAAAAGCTGAACCCAATTGGTAAGGGTGAAAGGAGAGAGATCACGAACAGAGGATAGTTGCTAAGGTATGAATAGATGGAACAGTTATGACAGAAGGAAACTGTATGGGTGATATAACAATGAAGAGCATGAATGGATCAGACCAGGAATAGAGGTGGGAAATGGAAGGAAGGGAAATTGGCGAGTAGGAGAAATTACCCTCCCAAGCTGCTAAAATCTTTGGAAGGAAAGATCGATCCGAGCAAAGGAGAAGATAAGAGGAATGATACAGAATACGTAAAACATCTATGGTAGACAAATCCAACTGACAATGTCCACAGGCCAAAAGGAGGAGGAAATACACTTTAAGGGATAAACAAAACATGGAACAAGAAGACAAATGTTCAAATGGAGGTAAAGTAAGGCACTAAAGCATCACATTGACATCTCAATCCAGAAGGGCTGTACACTGTGGAGGGTGACTAATCCGGAAAAAACGTAACAGGAGTGACAAGGTTTTTGGAGGCCAAAACTTTACAGTGCCATGAAAAATTAAAAATGTGGGATAAGGCTACCCAAGAGCCTGTGATCAAGGAGACCGAAGACCCCTGATCAAATAACCAAGTAAGGAAATCCATAATAATGGGAACAGTGGGATGAGAGGAGAGAACCCCTAGCCAAAAGACCAACGACAGAAGACATTCCACTTATGTTGATATACCTCCATGAAAGAAGGTCGATCTGAACGTGCCAACAAGGAAGCCACTTGCCATGATAAACTGGATTTTCTTGCTAAGGACCAGCTAAAAACCAGACAAGAAGAAGAAGGGCAGGAATGGCAGGATAAGCTACCTGGGACCAAGGTTGCCATAGAAGGGATGGAGTGCAGTGAAGAGGCAACAGTGGAGCAGATTGGATCTGGAGCAACCACAAAAACCATGGTTGGGCTGGCCAACAGAGGTAATCTGAAAGACCTAACAAAGAGTGGATGATAGAAATCACCATGGGAAGGATTTGGATAGCAGGATACACATAAAGGAATTTGTCTGCCCAATCCTGACTGAAGGCATCAACAGTCAGGGCAAGTGGATGAGGCACTGGACACCAAACTGAGGTAACTTGGTATTGACGAAAGTGGTAAATGCATTCAGGTGCAGTGTACCTACCTGAGTGCACAAATACTGGAAAACCTGAGGATCTAAAGGCCACTCCATCAGTTAAATTTTGTCTGAGCAGGATAGATGATCTGTGACCAGGTTGAAAGCATTCAGAACATGACATGGAAGTAGATGAATGCTGTGCATTTGGGCCCCAAAAAAGGAAATCCAACATTTGAGAACAAAGTGAATGAGAATGGGTGCCACCCTGGTGATTCATATATGCCACTAATGTAGAATTGTCTGTAGGGATCATAACCAGACGATTGTGGGCAAAAGGAAGTAAATGATCCAAAGCCTGATTGACAGCAAGTAGCTCCAAGATATTGATATGTAAGACCATTCTGTCATATACCATTGACAAGAAGCAACGTGTTGCTTGACCCTTGCCCTCTAGCTGTGAAGTGAAGCATCCATGGAAAGATGTAAATCTGGATGAGAGGGAAGAATCATATTCTCGTCAAAGTATGAGCCTTGTCCAACCACCAATGCAGATCATCTACAAGGGAAGGAGGATCCTGCTCAAGATTCCATGGATCGTGAAGAGTCCATTGAAGGGATCTTATATGAGCATGACCCATGGGGATAAGTGCCAACATAGAGGACCACATCTCCAAAAAAGACAGGATGACCTTGTGAGCAGTAAGGGTGTTGATGATGGAGTTGGGCCTGACTGAGATGAGTGTTGAACAAAAAACTCAAATGGATAAGATATCGGGTAGGAGCAAGGAAGGTTTACTCCAACTTAATCAACCAACCAACCCGAGCCACCTGCAAATGAAGCAGGAGAGTGTGTTGGGTAAACTTCAATTCGGAATGAACCAACAGAAGCTAATTGTCCATATAATGAGTGTGCATAAGTCTGGCAAAAGCCTTAACTACCTTATAAAAGACATACGGTGCTTTTGCAAGCATAAAATTAATAAACCACACCATGATGAACAAACCAAAGGTAGTGTCTCGACTGTCTTGACATGTGAATATGGAGATAAGCAATCTAGACATCGACCTTAATCATTCATAAACCCAGAGAGAATACCCACCTGAAAGTGAGAAACGAGGTAAAATAACGTAGCAGTGATTGAGGCATGACAGATCTATCACAGGCCCCATTCTCCAGCTTTCTAAGGGACAACAAACAGCCTGAAATAAAACCTCAGAGAAAGGTGAACTACAGGTTCGATGGCATGCTGAGAAAGATCTTGTACTGCCTCATACAGATGCTGACATTTAGTAGGATCCCAAGACAACTGAAAGGAAATAGGTATCTGAGACAACAGAGGAGTGGGGGAGGGAATGGATGACAAGTCCCTCTGATAAAACCTGAAGGACTTATAGATCCCTGCAAAATCTTGACATAAATGAACAAACCTGGATAAACGAGCTCCAACCAGACCAGAACCCACAGGGTAGTCACCGATACAGTTGGCAATGTGATGTGACACTCTCCACTGAAAAATACATGGAGATCCTGATGTGGAAGGAACAGGTAAGGGTTAGGACAGGGAACAGAAATAGGGAATTTTTGATGCTCCATGCAAGACAAACGATCAACCAATGAGGAGAGAGTTGATTGCTGTCTCACAGGTTCAACCCCGGGATTCCAAAGTTGCCAGAAGATCTCCAAGCACTGACTGATGGGGAAAATGGGCGAGGTGTAAGTCCTAATGACAGGGAGATGGCAAATAAACATGGGGCAAAACCGCAACTCTTCCCAAAAGATCCCAACAACAGAGAAAACGTGTGTAAAGAAAAAGCCAAAGTCGACAAATGTGCCAACAAGGATTAGGGCAAAAGTATCCCCCCAAAACCCTCAGAATCATGGTGGATTGTCCCAAAGAGGAGGTGGATGGTGGACAAGTACTGTAGGATAGACGTGAGGGTAAGATAAAGGTGAGAAAATTGGACATGGAATAAAAGAACAGGACAATAAAAAAAATGTACAAAATGGATTTCATCTGCCGTGAGTCCAAGAATGGAAAATCGGCCTGATGTTAGGCTAAAGCAAACTCGTCCAAAGCTCTCAGAGAGAAAGGCAGGCCTACACCTTCAAGGAAATGAAATACAAAATTCTCAACATGAATCATAATATCAGGAGAGGGTAGAAATACAAAATATTGAGAGGAAGGAGCATCATGTATTAAGTAAAGTAGAGGATTATAGGAAATTGGGGAAAGAGGTACAACAGACATACCTATGAAATCATGTTCAAGAAAGCCATATTAGGCCTAACGGAACCCACAGTAGAAACAAGGGAAGATACAGCAAATTCATGTGGAGGAAAAAGGCTGTCAAAATTTTCATCGTCCCGAACAGGTTTGACTTGTTCAGGAGGAAGTTGGGCAACATCAGGAGAAGAAGGCTGACTTAAATAACAATCAATCTCTCGACAAATAATTGCCGATAATTCGAAAGACAAGTTACCCCTACCTGAAGCCTGAGTAACTGTGCTGGTAGAAGGTGCAACCTCTGACATGGTAACACGTACTTCAGAATTCATAATGTTAACCAAACACAACTGTGTTGGTAAAGAATGACAAACATGGAAAATTAATTAAGTTTCAAAAATGAAATTATATCACAACTAAATAATATTACGGAAAGTAACAGGTTTTAAACTTGAAAGTAAACACTATGAAAATTCAAATTCAATTTTAAATAAAATAAAACATCTGAACACGAGCACTGCCAAATGTGTGGGGCATGTCTATTGGTAAAGGTTTCTTGCATGATAATTTGCATGTGTGAATCAGTTAAACCATGTGAACTGAGGGGTACGTAGGAGTGAAAGGCTTGCAGAATGCTAAAATAGCTATATGTGTGAACAGAAGTAAGTACCTGTCATAATTAATTACAAGGATTATTAAATTATTAATGTTATATGCAACATACAATGTGAGTCAAAAACTTACTATTACTATTCACCACAGTGATGAAAATGAATCCAGTGATTAGTGAGCAGAGAAACTTCCAATGGACCATCTTGTATTTCCAAATGAATACACTTTTCTTTCTTATCACTGAAATACAAAAATAGCACATTTAAAATCAACAAACACAGAGCAATATCTTTAAAAAACATTTTTTGACTAACAGTCTCAAAATTTAGATACAACTATTTGTAGGCTAATAAAGATTCAGTGTATTAACTGAATTATTTTACTTATTAATACTTACCTACATTAAAAAGAAAATAAAGCAAGCTCCTATTGAACACAGTTGTTTCAGTTGGAAGTAGGTTACTATGCTTTTATAAACAAAATATATATATATATTTATATATGGGAAAAAAAAACACAAAAAATGTGATGAAATATAGTAATAATTAAATGTTAACTTCAATTTTCTAATGTTTAAAGTGAAAGTCAAAAAGACTACCTTACTGGTTTGTCAGGTATTCTGAAAGTAAAGTTAATTCAAGCAAAGTAAACAAACAGTTTCGTGTTGAAATAAAAAAGAACCAGATGCTAATACAAATAATAAAACTAATTCTCATAGAAGTTAATCAAATAAAAATTACACTTCAACAACTTAATTTAGTTCACTCCAAAACATTTCTTGGTAAAACAACTGATATCTCAACAACTACTATGTATGATCCATCCTATCTCATCTGATGAACTTTGGTATTAGGCAAAAGACCTAATCTGCACTGGATATAGCAGGTGTAATGTGGTCTTCCTTATGTTATGACAGCGGAAGTCACGCGACTCTGGGAGCATGCGTGCTGGAGTTTCTAGAAGGATCTTGACTTATCAAGGAACCTCGCAAATGTCCGAGTGTTTGTCAGGCACCCTCTTTTTTTAGTACATAAGCCTGGTGAGAAAAACCAGCGCGAGGCCATAGATAGATAGGTATGTAGATAGATTGAAGATAGAGATAAATGAGTCAAGCAAACAATAAGCAAGTAAGTAAAGTGTGTGAATCACTGTCATTTATAGCATGTGTTATAAAGGTTGTTAAGTTTAAAGTGACCATGTAAATTCTGTGTATTACAAAGTTGTGTTGAAAAAGAATAAACTAGTTTTAATTAAGAAAGGATTTATATCACTGAAGTTCCTCGGAAAGAATTTATACCGGAAATTAACAAGCAAGCAGATATGCAACAAATTGGTGTCAGAAGTGGGATAGAGAAAAAAAATATGGAAATGAGAAGTGGCAAATCATACTACGACTTAGCAGATTTGATGGAAGCAATACAAGAACAGTAAAAGAAACAAGAAGAACGAGAAAAGAGACAACAGCAGTGGCAAGAAAACCTGCAACAGTGGCAGCTCGAACAGCAAAATAAACAAGAGAGATTACAGCAGTTGTTGGAGGAGAAAGAAAATAAACAAGAAGAAAATCTACAACAGTTGAGAGAAAACCAGCATACACAAATGGAAAAGATTAGTAAATGTCAAAGTGAATTAAATACATTAAAGGACGATTTACTGTCCTTTACACAGGGAGGATACATTAGCCATGGCCCAAATCAGCCCCAGACAACTGGAAGCACCTTCCAGACCCTGCAGTTAAACACTAATGGAGACATCTTCAGTCTTGCCAAAAGTCACATTCCAGACATGAGTGTCAGCAATAGGGGTGATCTAGTACGAAGAAAGCCACAGGAAATCGATGGGAAGGCACCATGGGAAGCATATAGAGCACAATTTGAGATCCTGGCAGAAATGAATGGATGGACAGAGGAGCAGAAAGCAGTGTACCCGGCAATGAGCCTGAAGGGACAACCACTAGAAATACTTGGACAGTTCTCAGCAGACAACAGGCTCAACTATACAGCACTGGTAGCTAAAGGGGAGAGCCTGCAAGAGCTGGCACAGGATTTGGAAAATATGGCACGCAAGGCCTACACAACTGCACCACCCAATGTCCTCAAGCGGTTGCTGAGGGATCAGTTTGTAGATGCCTTTGACAGTCCACAACTGAAGATACAAGTAAAGCAAGCACACCCCTGTACTATACAAGATGCAATGGCAAGTGCACTTGAATTTGAATCCTATGTTAAGTCCAGCACAGAGGTACCATGGTTGGTACAGTCATCAGGATTCAGAGCAGCTTTCACAGAAGTTTGAGGGACTTCACTGGCACTGTAACAAACCGGGGCACAAGGGAGCTCAATGCCAGGAACTTCAACACAGGGAAGATGCCATGGCAGGAAAGGCTGCTACCCAGAAAGGTTGTTGGAACTGTGGAGAGCAAGGACATATGAAGAGACAGTGTAAGAAGAATACTACCAATATGTCAGCTTCGGAAAACCAGTAATGGTTGGTGTTGAGTGACGCCCACCAACCCCGATTGTGAAAGTCCCAACAGCTAAGTGTAAAATGGCAAGCACATATGTGTCAGGAAAGCTGGACTACTTACTACCGAGGAAGTGTGTAGTTAATTTGGATAAAATGACGTTTGGGAACAACAAAGGCCAAATTCTGGTAAGTGTTGCTGCTTTTGTTGATTTGCATGTCACAGCACTTAAGTCAATGACAATATCCCCTATGTCGGAGAAGATAATTTGGGGTAGAATAAAAGAACATCCCTAAGGAAGCCCGATGCTTGTGGAAGCAGTGGAAGACCCATCCAGGCCAGCAGACGTGAAGATTGGAAGGTCACTTGTGCCAGGTCATCAAGTAGTACCCATAACAGTGGCTAATTTCTCTAAATGTGAGCAGATACTTAAGGAAGGGGCATTGTTGGGTGTGTGACAGGAGGTAGAGCTAGTCAATGTTAAGACAAGAAATACAACCATAAAGAAAGGACATCCTCTCCCAAAACATTTAACTGAACTCTATGAGAAGAACATAGTCCATTTGTCATTATCACAGGCTCTTCAGGTTAGAGAACTCTTGGCAAAGTATGCAGACGTTATTTCAAAAAGAGATCATGACCTCGGCTGCACAAACCTTGTGGAGCACAGAATAAACACAGGCAATCATCGTCCAATAAAGATCCTTCCAAGAAGAATAGCTCCGGCAAAGCAGCAAGAGATGGAGAAGGTCACGGATGGCCTAATTAAAGAAGAGATAGTCAAGAAAACAAATAGTTCCTGGTCAGCTCCCGTTGTGTTAGTCCAGAAGAAGGATGGGACCCAACATTGCTGTGTGGACTTCAGGGCTCTTAACAGTATAACTGAAAAAGACCCACTGCCAAGAACTGATGATACTCTTGATGCCCTAAGTGGATCCCAGTGGTTTTCAACTCTGGACTTAAAGTCGAGTTTCCATCAAGTGAAAATGGCTGAAGCAGATAAACCTAAAACTGCATTCAGTTATGGCCAAGGTTTCTGGCAATACTGTGTGATACCATTCGGGATTAGCAATGCTCCAGCAACATTTTAGAGGCTGATAGAAAGAGTATTGGAAAGCCCTACAATGGAGGATAGCCCTAGTGTACCTGGATGATGTAATTGTATATGCAACAACATTTGATGAGGAAATGTCCTGGCTAGAGGAAGTATTCAAGTGGTTGAAAGCAGCAAACCTCAAACTCCATCCCAAGAAATGCCACTTGTTCCAGAAAGAGGTGCTTTACTTGGGTCACATTGTAAGTGAGCATGGTGTGTTTGAACTGATCCTGACAAGGTGGAAGCAGTGTGTGATTGGCCAACACCAGACAATGTGGGAGAGTTAAGAAGTTTCTTGGGAATCTGTACCTATTACCAGAAGTTTGTGAAGGACATTGCAACTATAGCTGCTCCACTACATGATTTCACCAAAAAAGGCCAGAAGGTTGAATGGACAGTGTCTTGTCAGCATGCTTTCAAAACATTGAAAGAAAAATTGGCCTCAGCTCCACTTTTGAAGCTTCCAAATCCCTCACTGCCATGTATACTGGATTGTGATGCTAGTGATGTCAGAATTGGAGGAGTGTTGTCTCAGAAAGTGGATGGAATAAATATGTGGTGGCATACTTCAGTAGGGTCCTGAGTAGACCAGAGAGGAACTACTGTGTAACACGGAGGGGACTCCCTTGCTCTAGTAAAGAGTGACATATTTCCATCCTTATCTCTATGGCACCAGCTTTACTATCAGGACAGACCATGCTGCATTAGTCTGGTTAAGATCATTAAAAACCTAGAGGGACAACTGGCACGTTGGATCGGAAAGATATACCAGTATAACTATAATATTGAATGTAGTGAAGGAAAATCTCATGGAAATTCCGATGGACTGAGCCGAAGACTCTACAAAAATGACTGCAGAAATTGTTGCAAAAGAGAGGTTGAACTAACCAGGTGCCATCAAAGTGACTGAAGGAGTTGATGATGGTGAAGTGGAACCAGGTATAGATATTAAAGCAGAGTAGGAGAATGACCAAGACTTGAAGCCAATAATTGATTTCCTACAAGTAAGTGTTTTGCACCCTGCTTGGGAGAAGTTGTCTAGCTTAAGCCCTGTGACAAAGAACTATTGGGAACAATGGGACCAGTTGAAGCTTGAAGATGGTATTATTCTCTGGAGATAGGAAAGTGATGACTTGGCAAACAGTTATACCGAGAAAGTTATGGAAAGTTGTGCTGCGTCAACA